AAACTTCGTGATTATGTGTTCGTGTAGAAGGTGTCTCATTATTGGCCCCACCATATGTGTTGGTATACTGGCGGGGCGGTCCGCAGTAATCACTGGGATAACTTTACCGTGCAGCCTGCTTTTTGTATGAGTAACAGCAAACTCACCGATCGGGCGCATTTCAGTAAAAATATGTTCCTCTCGTAGGGTAATATAAAGATAGAAGCAATTCACACAGGGACTTAATTATTGTCGGTTGTGTTGTTTTTGATGTTTTTGCTGTACCACAATGCAAATTTTTGGGTATATAACGTATTATCTGGAATCAGTGATACTCGATATGTTTCCGATACTTGTCGCAACCATGTTTGGTGAGATTTGTCTGCCATTTTCGCATTAATCACCAAATTTTGGTCAGGCAGGCCCCAACATGACAAAAGTGAAAGCCAGTTCCCATATTTTAGTTTACTGTTCGTGTTAAAATGCTTGCGGATTCTATAATTATACCTACTCGCCAGAACGAAACATTTGCAACCCATGGCATGTTTCTTCTCTTTGTGAATTCATTTGAACTGCTTTGATCATGCCTGCTGTTATGAGCGTCACCTAACCCGACTTTCATTTTGGATCATACCGATTTTTAAATGTGCTCATTCAAAATTGTGGAAGTCAATTTTGCTGATCTATCAGAATAAACTGGTACCCAAAATCAACGACCATAATTTACACGATATTCTTCTTGAGGGCAAAGTCCGAATCCTGATGCGTTATTGTCCTTGCAACCAGGGTCAACCGTCCGTTGGACAAAGTCCAACGAGGGGGTCGTATTTGGCCGACGAAAGGGGGTCGTATTCGCAAGGTCGGAGGCAGCGTCAATCCTACACCAACGGGGGGTCGTAGTGTGACACGCTTTACGCTTTGTGAGTGCTAAGAAAAAAATTGCCGTTTCGATATATACCCCCTCCCCCGCTCGACGGCTATTTTGGAGGAAATGTGGGTGGAGTTGGGCGTTGGGCTGTGTCAACTGGTCTCAGAATCGAATATGGTAACAGCTGTGGCAGCTGTGGGAGGGGGGTCGTAGAATTTTTGAAATTTGTCCAACGTAACGGTTAACCCTGTTTACAAGTGACAGCGCAGATCTGAAGTGAAACGCGAGCAATGGAAAAGCAGGATGAAACCATGGGCGGGTGTTGAGCGAGGCCAATGTTGCTCCTAGGGCCTCAGCGCCTTAGCCTTGCAAAATCATACCAAGATGGTGTACGTGCTTTCCGCATGCGTATTGTCGCACTTTCTCAGGAACAAGCTCAATTCCGATAACAAATTCCGGGCTTTGCTTCTAACCATAAGATGTTTCTGGAATCCACCCACGCGCAGCCAGTGTAATTGAATAACGGTCGAGGATTCTTCGATGTGGGTTCACATTTCCTCCGAGGGGAAAAGGCAGATCATATTTGAGATTTGGCAGGGTCACAGAAGGAACCAAATGGAAAGAGTATAAGGAATATAGGCGAGAAAATGAAATAGTTGCATAAAATTTAAGATTTGCTTTTTGAGCACTCGCATATTCCTCTACTCGGCCAGAAATTTGGAGTGGATTTGAGCCGAGCTCGAGTATGTTTATCATGTTGGAACACCGGTGACGACTGTACTAATGCGGCTAGGTGCTGTTTTGGCTAGGTACTGTTTCGCCTAATTTTTGTTCAATCGACGAAATGTGATACAACTTTCCGTAGCAAACCGTCGTTTTGCTGTAACTTATGAAAATATGGCGCAAATGCTATAAAATTTATACCATCGGATAGCACTGGTCATGACGAATCCAAAGATATAGCGAACTCTCAATTCCTCAACCTTCGGCTTTCTTTCGTGAGGCAAGGCGATTGAGTTTTTCCTGCGCAATAAGGCAGTACCGTGACGGTCATACATCACTGCAAAAACCCTCCAGTTCAACTAGTTAAATTGTCGAGAACATGTATTCTGTAAAATGTGAACATTTTCGGAAACAACTTGCATTCGTGATCATTTTGGTACCAATCTTAACGGGATTTCAACAAATTTCAATTGTAATTTTAAGTTTTAGTCTCCACTCTCTTCGGGATGTGACGATTATTCGAGGCCGTTGAACCCTTGTCCACGAAACTGAAATCTAGGTTTGATACTGCTGGCTTTGTTTTACGTATGAGTTTTTATCAAGTTGTCGACGACAGTCCCTGCCCGCAAAAACACGTCCCATCGTTTGATGATTCTCCTTTAATAATAAGCGGACTCGTTGACAGACAGAAACAGACTTAAGCGCAATACGTCTGAGACTAACTGACACGGAACTGTTGGAATCGATTTTAAAGGTACTGTAGATTATACTGGTGCTTACCCATTAAGGAGCATCCTAACGGTTGAGATGCACACAGTGGAAGTGCCAGAAATCCATTCGGTTTACCTGTTATCTTTGAAACTATTAATCAACGATTCAGCTTTTAATGGTGTTGCTTGATTATTAGGCGGCAGTCAGAATAAGCTGACTTTTCAAGTTTTTGGGAATAGTTTCGAATTTAATTCCATAAACAGGTCTTATAGGTGAAAACTGAAACTACCCCTCATATGTGCTCAGGCCACGAATGCAGGTCCCCACTCGCTACGAACGTAGAGCTGGTCGAAGTATTGAGAAGGCGCCGCGCATTGACTTCATGCAAAGGTGTAGTGGTATTATGAATGCGAAATTGCGCCTCTGCAACTTGCAGAGATTAGCCGATATAGACAGCAGTGTTTGCTGAGCCCTCCACACGGGAGACCCTACTAGGCAATTATGATGGCCAATCTAAGTTCTGTTTGCACGGTGAATCGAAGGCACCTATTGACCGGTCGCCGTAGAGTCCTAGTTGTTTGCATTCCAGACTTCTGCCTCGGTTGAGGCATTAGGTTTGGCATGACTGATTGAGAATCCTAATTATTGGATTGCAGGAGGTAGCCAACTCCAGTTTTCAACAGGGATGGCACTGGATCAAGATCGAAACACATAATAATTAAGCAGTGTTCTTCGAAAGCAAAATCCGTGGGGAACTGCAACTCATTTGACGTTTTCAGGAATGTTCCTTTTTAGGTTGTTACGAAAATGTTTCCTCAGGTGTTTCGCAAAAATTTATGTGAATAGCGATATATTGTGCAAAGAGTGGGACTCTTTGAAAGAATGGAGCCCATTTTATAGTGTTTCAAAATGCGTTGCGTTTCTTTCTTCCCCCAATAGATCTCCTAGCATCCAACCGTCGCAAAGAAACATGCAGATGCGGGAAAATGAGAAGATAGAGCAGCCATAAATTCTAGTTAATCTCATCAAGAGTATGTAGATAGAAGGGTTGTCACTTCATTTCGTAGCTATAAGATCTGATGCTTTATGAATAGCTATACTGTCATCCTGATGGGAATTGCTTCAGTATTATGATCAATTCTACGAGGGGAATATGAATTTCTGAAGCAACATCTCAAGTTCCCGAGTTCTGTAAACGGCATGGCGGCTGGTGTCCGCACCCACTCGTTTGTTGAGGATAGAACCGAAGTTTGCACTTCAGAAACCTGTATTAAAAACTGTCGCAGAAATCATGGCAATAGCAGAAAACTTCGTCGAACTCGAGTTGAATTTATATGCACGGGAAGAACTGATTTCAAACAAAAGAATATGGCCCAATTGGATAGCTTAAGAACGCGCCGGTTGTCTGGAAAAATCGAGCAGTGTGGCTTTAGACATAACTTTCCATGAAGTGGTTTCAATTTGCCCTGGCACTATCCTTGTGCATGGCATGCTCAACGTTACAAGGATGGCATGGGTAATGAAGACGACCCGAGTATCAATACAGGATCCAGTTTTATCCGATGCTTAGTCCATGAGCCAGTTACCTCGAGCGGGTACATTAAGAAGTTGAGTTACATAGACTCGGGGACTTCCAGCGCATGGGGGCTTTGGGGACCGGATCATTTTTAACGTCGCAGAAAACTTATTTTATCAGTATCCGTAATGTGAGACAGAGATTCTAGATTTCAGTGGGTTTCGTGGCAGATGGTCTCAAACGGTCCTCTAATAATTGGGCCACGTTTCCGAAGAAAGAGCCCTAAAAACTTATTCCAATTGGAATTTGTTGAAATCCCGTTAAGATTGGTACCAAAATGATGATGCGAATGCAAGTTGTTTCCGAAAATGTTCACATTTCCAGCTTCGGAATACATGTTTCGAATTTCCTAGTCGAACTGGAGGGTTTGCAATGGTGTTATGACCTGCAGGTACTGCTATTGGCAAGAAGAGACTCAATCGCTCGTTTCCTTGAAAATAAGGCCGAAGGTTTCGAGGAAATTTTTGAGAGTTCGCTGCTTATATCTTTATAGATTCGTCATGACCAGCTAGACTTCTAGATGGTATATAATTTTGTAGCATCTTGCCGCCATATTTTATAAGTTACAGCAAACGACGGTTTTGCTACCGAATCAGAAGTTTGTCCTCACATTTCGGGCGATTGCACAAATTAGGGGCGTCTTGTAACTGTTTCGACCATTTACCCAACACGAATTTACCACGCTCACAGAGGAACATGAAAGTTGGCAGAAGAGTTTTTGGAGCTCTCTATAACGCGGGTGCTGTTCACCCATTAAAAGACTACGGCTCCGCTGCTCAGTGCTTCCCCTACGCACACACGTTCCCCTTTCAAATTTTGTTCCGGATATATACCAGCCCATTCATCGGAGACTGCTCGATTGACGTTCTGGCTCGACTTGACCGTGTCATCGGTCTCGGGATTTTTAGTTCCTACGATCCACCTAACCTCATCTGTAACAACTCCATACGACCGAAATATCTTTTGCGGTTTTAGCCCTCATCGAGTATCACCTTGAGATTTCTCGTGCGCTCTTAACCATAGACTCGTATCCTTCGCAGATTTCGTCAACCTCATCGCCTGTATGACTCACCAGGAGGGTCGCCTGTCACATTGGGGACTGTTACTACCCTGACAGCGTTACGTGAAATTTTTGAAGTGTGCATGTTTTCAGCAACTTCTTGGGCCATCGTCATTCGCGATGGATCAGGTACAGTGTGATTCTTTATTTTTTGTCTGTAGTAGTGGTACCTTGAGTACGGCTGACGTTTCTTAACCGTCAAAACCACGGGCTACGGTTGTTGTTGTGAATTTTCGAATTTTATTACGACTTTTTTCAGAACAGGACATTTTACCTCCCATAAAGGGGGACGAGCCGCCGCTATAACATTCCAATGGTCTTTTGCTCGCAGTAGGGAAGCATGCTTCTCTGTCACTTCCGGAGTGATAACATGGTCGCAGTGGAAGTAGGGCGCATGCTTAACGATGGAGTAGATTACTTGTTTAGACGGCGAGAAAGACATACCTGCTGAATAACTTTAAACGAGCAACTTCATCAATTTTCTGCTATTTAAAGAAATTCAAATGTTTTTGAAATCTGCAAACATTTTCTCTCTTTCCAAGTTTTCTTGAATTCAAAGAGAATTGTTGTTGTCGAAAATGAACAAATGAAATTTCAGAGAAAAAACTAAAGAACATCAGTTTTCCTTTTGGATTGTCAAGTTCCTTCACTTGTAGCATGGCACGCAATTCCATTCCAACCGCATCGAATGAATACTTAAAAAGGATAAAGGATAAAGCATTTGCCGTTGATCAATCCCTTTTTGGGATGCGGCACGCATTCTACTTCCATTTGTACATTCGTAGTGGCGTTTGAATGCGATGTGGCCTATACAATGACTTGCGGGGCCAGCCGATGTACAAGTCAGTGTTTTTATCCTCCCAGACAAGTCTGGTACCAATTAACCGACCCCGGAGGGATGGAAGGCTTGGTTGGCCCGGGCGACTCACGACCCAGGATTTGATCCCGGACCGCTCGCGTGGTAAGCGCGCCACTTGTCACTACACCACTTTCGCCCAAATGACTACTACGTACGGCTGGGCGATGCTATAGATTGCGAATCGAGCGATTCGCTAGCGCTGCGGGTCATTTTTCTACTCTAGGGCGGCACTGGTGTAGCGACAAGTGGCACGCTTACCACGCGCGTGGTCTGGGGATCGGATCCGGGGTCGTGCGTCGACTCTCACCAAATTGGAACTTTTACTCTCAGTAAATTGAAACTCAAGAGTATGTCCCCAAAAATTCCTGCTCTGAGATGCGTCGCGCCACCTTCTTTTGTTGACTCGATGAGGCACTGGACAGAATCCATTTTGCATAGCTTGCGAAAACCAGCCAGTCCAATCCTAATGCTGTTGTGCGGAAAACCAGGAAACGTCATCTAGTTACATTAAGACGTCATTTTCTTGCGGTCAACTTATTCAAGATAGCGCATTCCTAAAACAAACTCGAGATAGAGGACGATCGATCCTTTCGGAGACCTTTCGTTTTCGCTCACACTCAGGTTTTGTGCAGCAGTACCCTATCTACCAAGTCCCATCAATGAGAATAGAGCCACACGTGCCGCCCCCCCCCTCCTTCCGTGGTCCAAGTACGACCCCCTCGTAGATATATTACCTGAAGACCTTCGCCGACACTCAGTGACTTGTAGGAAAAGCTCAATCTACACCACTCATGATTCAAAGCAGTAGAGTAGGAAGAACACGCCTTAACTGTACAATGCACATTTTTCCACTATTCAGGAAGCGGCCTGGATATCAGACCAGTGGATGAGTGGGAAGATTCCTCAGGAAGTGGCTGGGAGGATGGCTCCGGTGATGAACTGTACGGTAAGATCTTTTTCAGGAGATGAAACACACTCTCGGAATGAAAAATCATTTTTTTAGAAACCTGCCCGCCTAACATGCTCTCCGCTAAGTGTGTACCAATTTGCGAAGCAGACTGCAACAATCCACAGGTGGGAAACCCATGCAAACGATTCTTTTTTTCTTTGCACAGTCAACCTCTTCTGTTCAAGGGACCTACATGTGACGGAATCATATGTGGGGACGAAGATACTTGTTTCTGTAAGCAGGGATACGTCCTTGTGTCCGCTGATGATCAGTATCTTGGCTGTACGACACATTGACGGACATCTGGACACATTCATACGTAGAATCCTATATTTTCTGCATCAGATGACTCTTTCATCCACTTGCCACCAAAAAATACAGATTTTTGCACTGCCATCGCTGTTCGAGCTGTTTCACCCAGTGAAAGACCTCAAACCTAATGTTTTCTTACGACTGTGCTTGAAGCAACAATTCCAGATCGAATTCGCGGGGTAAAAACGGTTGATAGAAGTTGTAGATGTCGAGTTGACTGCTAATGGAAAGCGAAAAAAACCGCCGACGAAGCCTTTAAACAGCCCTCTCTTCCCTTCCAGCAAATAGAAATGAAGGAAAGGGCCTGTCGGACGAGCTATCCGAATCACCAAAAACAGGCAGCATTAATTTTGAAACGCGGTTCAGTTACACGCAATCGCGCAAAGACCCGCATCAAGCACGCGATCTCCACGGCTGGCAAGTGGGGGTTGTGACCGATCGCCACGCCCACTTCGAAGGCGTTCAACTCCCTTTCTAGCGGCTTTCCAAGGTGAGTTTTTTGTTCAGTCACACTTCTTATGTTCTTGACTAGGGCTAGCGCATCGTTCCACACCATTAGTGTCGAAGGAAAAAACCTCTGCTGGGACAGAAAACTCTTGCTTCAAACAAGGACGACACCTAGTCAGAACAGCTTTCATGGTCAGTTTTCAAACATCACTCAGCTCGCTGACCCGGCCTCACACTTCGGTAACAAGTAAGAAGGAGTTTATGCTAAACTTCAGTAAAAACATAACAAGAATATGACTATTAACAAGTAACAAACACCGTAGTTATTAAGAACAACACGCAAAAGTATACCTGATGTTAACAACCGGATCAAAACTATCTGAGCCGCTGTTTGCCCATCAATTTTTCACTTTTTTGAGTTTCCTTTTGATTCTGTCAGGCAGCTGCTGAACCATAAGCAATCCGTGGTAATACAACAGATGACAAAGCGCTTGTACTTCAGCGCCGTTCATTTGCTCAGGCATCTCAGAGAGGGACATCCATTCAGGATAGCTGTTACAGAGTGCGTTGAACCCACTAACAAACTGAAAAAACACCACCTAGAAAAATTGAGACGATTCTTTTACGAAAATTCATACCTCAATTGGTAACTCAAATGTTTGCTCAGGAAGCCCTTCGTACAGGCGAGAATTCGCCATTCGATGAGCAATGTAGCAACTATCTTCACTTTCAAACAGCAGTCTGAGAGAAACAAAAAAGAATAGGGGAAGTAAATCCACGACACCAAATAATTCAGAATACCTCTGCGCATGCCTTCGAATGAGCCTAACTTTGGAGCTCGGACGGAACTCCATCACATTTCCATGAAGAATGTCCATTCCACTTCCAATTACACTGTGTGATTTTTCCTCTGAAAAAGGGCTTACAGGTGTCGTAACTTCCCTTCAGCCCGCCACCGTGACGCGTCACAATAATTATGTGATGCAAAGGCTACCCCCAAAATACCATCCCACCTATGAACCAACTGCACTGCCACTAATTACATCAAATTCCCCAGTTAAATTATACGATTGAATAGGTGAAGAGAAAAACAGCAGAAAATGCTTGACTGGAGAAGAGGAACAACTAAGGTGACATGTTCTATTGGACACTCCGTTTCGGGAACGCATAATCCTACCAACCTGGTGTAAGCAAAGGAGGTAATGCAGTCCTCATGAAAGCACGAGCCATCAAATCTATGCCACCGTCGCAGACTTCTCTCAGCGAATTTCGGAGAACTGTCATGTGCCGATCAACCACTGTCTTCCATCTAAATATTCAAAACATTACCTTATATGATCATCAGAAGCAGATTTTGATTGATTGAGTAAAATATTGCTATCAAAATGAATTGGAATTATTCAACATTAAACATAAACAAAGTAAACAGTGGATGTATACAC